TGCCCACGCGCGTGTGTGGGCGGCATGTCTACGGACGATTGATGTGGGAGCCAGCAGGCGGCTTAGCAATAAAACGGCGTTGAAAGCCCTAAAACCAAATCTGTCGCTCCGCTGGGCTATTTATTATTGGTGGGCTCGTTTAAGACAGACAAATGGCTGCTATCTGAATTGAAATTACTGTGCCACCCCTCACCTCTGGCACGAGGTTCCTTTCTGTGTCATTCAAAGGTCGAGTACGAGGTGAACGCCGATGGGTTTAGTCACCGTACAATAGAAAATGACACCGGAATAGAACCAGCCGCCAGGCTTCTTCTAAAGTGGACCTGTCATTCTGAATGGCCTTTTTTTAATCTGCAACTACCACAGCAATAATTCAATGAAAGCGCCTTTAAAGTAATGGTCATCAAAAATGTAAGTTTTCCTGCCCCATGATTCATACAATGATAAAATACTACTTTGTCCAACTAAGGCCAAAGCAGACTTGGGGGTCTATGTATAAGCAATGCACAGGGCCATTAGCCTTGTGAATCTCTGTGAACATTCGTGCTTTGCAAAACAGCAAGGAGGAAGGTCTAGTATATTTTCTTTTCAGGTTGAATGTAATATGATGTAATACTGCATTATGGCCACTAGATGGAGCTGATGAACATAGAAAATGAATACTCATGTCCTGTGCTCTTTGGCTCCATCTAGTGACCATAATGCAGTATTACATCATATTACATTCGACCTGAAAAGAAAATATACTCCCCTAGTGTGCAGTGAATGATGGTATGAAGCCCCCTCAATGTGACACACAAATCTGGATTCCAGCCTTGCAAGGTTGTACAGGCTTCTCACAAATGTTCATTTAAAGCTGCAGCAAGTTGTATAGAGCCCGCACCAATTCCTGGCTGGAGGATGTCCAGCATCAATGTGTTCTTTCCTCCCCAGCCTGACTGTCTCTAGCCCACCCCTTTCATTCATAGGATTTCAGTTCTTCTCATAGAGGCTCAGCATCACATGTGGGTGTTACTTAGGATGGTCTGCATGCAAATATAGCCTGCCTAGGAATGTCCACTTCTCCAAACTGACCTCCACCGATCAAGGAATTGTGCATAACACCTCCCAAGAGCCAACCCAGTACTTGCATTAGGGCTGAGGGCACTTGAGAGAAGTACAAGGCAGGGTGCTCTGATGTTTTCGGGAAGTTATGTACAGCACCCTGCCGGCACCTCCTAACAGTTATGATCTGCTGGGGGTGGGGGGGTTTAACCAGGGAAGGCCATGTAAATGCAGAATAAACCTCAGCTTTGACTCCTCCAGACCATCACACAGACACTTTTGTAATGAAAGCGCAACCTCTACATTCCTTGTGAAAAGTGATATGATCGGCCTCACTATTGCCGACAGCCCAATACAGAATTATGGACATGAAAAACTCCCACAGACATTCTGACCCAGGAAGAGGACCTGTCACCTGTCTCCCTGACCCAGCTGTCTTGTCCCTGCGGTGTCCTATCAGGGGACTTCCAAGTGTGAGCAGTTGTGTGCAGGAAAGAATTGTTTCATCAGTAATATTCTTAAAATATTGAGTGATGCCAAAGCTATGCGGTTAAATCAGATATAGCGTGAAAGGCCGGCAGCATGGAAGCCCAAAGGACAGTACGGCCTCATAACATGCTTAGGCTGCGGCTTCAACTTTGTACCACAAAGGGCTTTATTCATGGACTGCCTGAAGGAAGAATTTGCCCTCAATGACCTTAAAGTGTAACTCTGAACAAAATCAGAATGACATATAGGACCGGTGTGGATGGACTTTGGGTTTGTGTGAGGAAAACGGGAAGGTTTAAAAATGTCAGTAGCATTTTGCTGAGGAAGGTGGAGGGAAGAACCAGGGAAGGCAAACTCCAAGCATTTTAACCACTACAGGACATACATGAAGGTCCTGATCTTCAAAGTGGTTATACCAAGATCACCACTGCTGCTGCATCGTTGGCATAACTTTTTTTTTACAGTAGATAGAGGGCTTTAGAGTACACGAGATCTGAGCCACTCTAGAGGTGCACAATCACGTACCAGTCTGTGATGGTGCCAAGTAGGGCTGCAGCTAACAATTATTTTTAAATTTGATTAGTTAGCGGATAATTAAGTTCGATTAATTGCATACAAATAATAAAACATTTTTTAAAAATGGCTCCAGTGATGTACTACTAATTTGTATTGAGATCATAGTCCATCATGGGAGTGAGCTTGGAGCGGTGACCACTTTACAACACACACAGGAACCATGGGGATTATAGTAGAATGTATTATTGCTGGGATTCGTTGTATTCCTATTTTAGATTGTAAACCCTCACGGGCAGGGTCCTCCTTACCATCTTGTCTTGATTTGTATTGGGATTGTAATGTCTTCCTTATATTGTAAAGCGCTGCGCAAACTGTTGGCGCTATATAAATCCTGTATAATAATAATAATATAGCTGGTGGTATTCTGCATTGCGCTGTATAGAGGAATACAACAAATCCCAGCAATAGTACATTATATAGCGCAATGCAGAATACCACCAGCTATAGAGGAATACAACAAATCCCAGAAATACATTATACAGTGCAATGCAGAATACAACAAATCCCAGAAATACATTATACAGTGCAATGCAGAATATCACCAGCTATAGAGGAATACAACAAATCCCAGAAATACATTATACAGTGCAATGCAGAATACCACCAGCTATAGAGGAATACAACAAATCCCAGAAATACATTATACAGTGCAATGCAGAATACCACCAGCTATAGAAGAATACAACAAATCCCAGCAATACATTATACATATAGTGTATAATGTATTGCTGGGATTTGTATTCCTCTATAGATGATGATAGCAGGAGAAGCGGCGTGCGGCGAGTCCGTGAGAGCTGGGTGAGGCGGGGGGAGAAGTGGCGTGCGACGAGTACATGAGAGCTAGGTGAGGCGGGGAGGAGAAGCGGCGTGCGACGAGTCCATGAAAGCTCGGTGAGGTGGGGAGGGGAAGTGGAGTGTCCGTGAAAGCTCGGTGAGGCGGGGAGGAGAAGCGGCATGCAGCGAGTCCATGAGAGCTGGGTGAGGCGGGGAGGGGAAGCGGCGTGTCCATGAGAGCTGGGTGATGCAGGGAGGGGGAGGGCGTGTCTGTGAAAGCTCGGTGAGGCGGGGAGGAGAAGCGGCGTGTCCGTGAAAGCCCGGTGAGGCGGGGAGGAGAAGCGGCATGCAGCGAGTCCATGAGAGCTGGGTCACGCCGGGAGGCGAAGCGGCGTGTCCGTGAAAGCCCGGTGAGGCGGGGAGGAGAAGCGGCATGCAGCGAGTCCATGAGAGCTGGGTCACGCCGGGAGGCGAAGCGGCGTGTCCGTGAAAGCCCGGTGAGGCGGGGAGGAGAAGCGGCATGCAGCGAGTCCATGAGAGCTGGGTCACGCCGGGAGGCGAAGCGGCGTGTCCGTGAAAGCCCGGTGAGGCGGGGAGGAGAAGCGGCATGCAGCGAGTCCATGAGAGCTGGGTCACGCCGGGAGGCGAAGCGGCGTGTCCGTGAAAGCCCGGTGAGGCGGGGAGGAGAAGCGGCATGCAGCGAGTCCATGAGAGCTGGGTCACGCCGGGAGGCGAAGCGGCGTGTCCGTGAAAGCCCGGTGAGGCGGGGAGGAGAAGCGGCATGCAGCGAGTCCATGAGAGCTGGGTCACGCCGGGAGGCGAAGCGGCGTGTCCGTGAAAGCCCGGTGAGGCGGGGAGGAGAAGCGGCATGCAGCGAGTCCATGAGAGCTGGGTCACGCCGGGAGGCGAAGCGGCGTGTCCGTGAAAGCCCGGTGAGGCGGGGAGGAGAAGCGGCATGCAGCGAGTCCATGAGAGCTGGGTCACGCCGGGAGGCGAAGCGGCGTGTCCGTGAAAGCCCGGTGAGGCGGGGAGGAGAAGCGGCATGCAGCGAGTCCATGAGAGCTGGGTCACGCCGGGAGGCGAAGCGGCGTGTCCGTGAAAGCCCGGTGAGGCGGGGAGGAGAAGCGGCATGCAGCGAGTCCATGAGAGCTGGGTCACGCCGGGAGGCGAAGCGGCGTGTCCGTGAGAGCTGAAACAGTTGTGCTGCTTCAGAGCAGTCACAAGCCCAGCTGAAATGTCGGGTCATCAGATGATCAAGCACAATCCTGTCATTAATCGTTGGCATTGGAGGGCGTGAGAGACATTAAGGGGTTTAAATTGACCCCTGATGTCTCCATAAAAAAGAACCTGTCACTGTATTGCATGTGTATGTATATCTATGTATCCATCTGCAAATGCTATCACATAGGGATTTGTTAGCCCCCTCGGGATAACAATAAAGTTAAAAAAAGTGTTAAAAAAGTAAATGATAAAATATAGAAAAATAAAATAATTAAAAACAACCCTTCCCTACCACCCCCACCATCTGCGTGTGAATGTAAATGCGATGTTAGGCATGCATGTGTAGGTAAACACTGGTATCACACATGTGGGTATCCCCACAAATGTTGGAGAGCAATAATCCTAGGGCTATAATTCACAGGCAAGTCTAAGGCTCTGTTGACACCTAGGCGTATCGAATATGCGAGTTTGTCGTTTTTACGCGTTTTACCGCGATTTGCGGTAAGAAAAACGCACGATAAACACGCGTTTCCGAGGGCTACTTGGCTGTATCCCAATGGAAATGTGCGACAAAAACGGCGCAAAGAAGCTCCTGTACCTTTTCTTTTGTAGCGCGTTCAGACGGGCTGAAATACGGCAAGGTGTGAACCATACCCATAGAAAACAATGGGATTTTCATGTTTGAGCGTTTTGTAGACATTCGTAGAGCGTTGAACGCACTACAAAACGTACAGGTGTGAACCAGGCCTAAACTGATGAGCAGTGAAGGCTTTTAAAGTATTGACAATAGACAATTTTAAGTACCATAGTTTCTCACCATTGGTGACATTACTGACATTGGCCATTATATTGTGTCTGCACCCAACTCAAGTTTGCCAGCACAAGAATGAGCCTACCTGAAGCATATTGAGGAGAAGACTCCGGAACTTGGTCCCCTCCACCATGAAGAGAGCCATCTTGTCGCAGAGTTTGGCAGCGGTGTGTGCAAAGCTTCTGTCTGTCACAGCTTTCTGATAAATAGTCTTTACAATCTCCCCCAGCATCTGCTCCGAGTTGGCCGAGTTCTGGGCCTCCTCCATGAACGTGGTCAGCTTGTGGTCCACGTCACTGCTGTTATTCCGCATGCTGTTTAATATTTCTATCAGTTTGTCCATTTTGGTCTTTTGAGGGTTGGTGGACTCGACTGCGTACTCCTCCTGCTGGGACAAAACCAACATACATCAGAAGACCAAAGGCACCAAAAGGACCCGCGACCGAGGTAATGAGAAGTCCTGCTCTGACGGACCAGAAATGTATTGTTTATAAGAGATGCTGGAATCAAATCTAACCAGACCAGACTTTAATTCCTTGTAACAGGAAGGCAACCAATATTCAAATTAGCAGCTTCCCAACTACCCCACAAACTAAGATAGTGGTTTGTCTCCTGAAGGCCACCATGGCACTTCCGCTAGAAGTGTGATGATGTCACAACATCATAATGTATTTAAGTGTATGTAATCTCAATCACAAAATCTCATCATTTATAACATATTACTGGAAGTCTAAAAGTAATTTTATTATTTTGAAATCTGAAACATTCATTAAAATAATACTTGGTGTTTCCTGTCATAAGGTGACAACGCTGTGTCCAGTCCCCCAATTGTACACCTGCATTGTCACCCTGTCACATGCGCTTCTGGTAGGGACTATAAAAGCAGCTGCGTCGGAGTCTAATTGTGCAGCCATGAGAAAGTTGATCCTTAGATGCAGCCACTGGTGGAGAACATGAAGACGGGAAGTGGCTGCAAAGGGGCTGCCGGAGATTGGCAGCTCTGAGGTGCAACTAAGGATACAAAAAACAAACAAGGAAACACTGGGGGGAAGACGCCCATGGCAACCAATCATCTTCCCTCTTCAGTTAAGATTTGAAAATGAAAGAGAGAAGCTGATTGGTTGCCATGCACAGCTGCTCCAGATTTTCTCTGCCACAGTTTTGATAAATTCCCCTCAATGTTTTTTTAAAGAACATTTGCCAATTGTTTACGATACAAAGTGCTTTAGCAAACTAAATGTCATCTATGTTGACATTCTTCTTGAATATTTCTTTGACTATCATGGCTTCCACACTTGCTTCTACACACCCTGATGGCGGAGTAGGAGTTGGCACTATAACCATGGTTTAGTATATTTGGGGGTCCCCCTGATTTTAGGTGTATGCTTTGCCCACAGACTCAACCTAGGCAAGATGAAGTGTGCCCATGACACCACATGGGGCCGTTTCCTGCATCGCCGAGGAACCCAGGGTATCATGTGACTGAAGTGAAGGCAGCTCCAAAAAAGTTACGGATATCAAAAAAAAAAAGAAGATTGGTGGGGGAGGCCAACCAGCCTGACGTTAGGTTTAATAATGTGGAACAGCCACAATGCTTCCAGTAACATTTGATTTCGGCTGAGAGGGAGCTCAGGAGCAGAGTTGGGTTGATCGTTACTTCAATAAAACAATGCAATTTGATAACACGCATGCCCTACTGATTTATGGCAATTTTAATAAGCCTATATTAAGTAATAACTGGTCTGTCTGAAAACCAAATTCCAGTCACAGAAATATTCATTCAGAGCCATTTCCTAGTTCTACTTTACTGCTTTATTAGTTGGCACCAGAGTCAGATCCAGTGCACTTAGCAAGCAGCACTCAGTAACAGAACCTGCTCTGATATGCCCCTTCTCTTCCTCTGCACTAGTAATGAGCTGGGGCTTATTGGAAACCCGCCCAAGCCTGCTCAAAACTATGACCAACACCCCCTCTCCCGGCAATAATCTGTTCAGCCAG